TGGCAAGACACATCAGCTCTTATGTTCACAGACAGAAAATTGAAGCCTATCAAGAAAATAACAGTGACTACTGTGAAACACGGAGGAGGCTCTGTTATGTTCTGGGCCTGCTTTGCTGCATCTAGCACATGGGTATCTTGAATCTGTGAAGGGACAATGAAATCTCAAAACTATCAAGGGATTCTAGAAAGAAATATGCTGCCCAGTGTCAGAAAGCTTGGTTTCAGTCGCAGGTCATGGGTCTTGCAACAGGATAAGGACCCAAAACACACAGCTAAATACACCCAAGAATGGCTAAAATGAAAACATTGGACTATTCTGAAGTGGCCTTTTATGAGCCCTGACCTACAAACCAGATTCCAAAAAAAGTTGGGACACTAAACAAATTGTGAATAAAAACTGAATGCAATGATGTGGAGACGGCAAATGTCAATATTTTATTTGTAATAGAACATAGATGACAGATCAAATGTTTAATCTGAGTAAATGTAACATTTAAAAAGGAAAAATGTGTTGATTCAAAATTTCACAGTGTCAACAAATCTCAAAAGTTAGGACAAGTAGCAATAAATGGCTGGAAAAAGGAAAGTGGGCATATAACGAAGAGCTGGAAGACCAATTAACACTAATTAGGTCAATTGACCACATGATTGGGTATAAAAAGAGCTTCTCAGAGTGTCAGTGTCTCTCAGAAGCCAAGATGGTAAGAGGATCACCAATTCCACCATTGTTGCGCAGAAAGATAGTGCAGCAATACCAGAATGGTAATGGTAATAGCAAAGACATTTAAGTTATCATCATCAATCGTGCATAACATCATCAAAAGATTCAGAGAATCTGGAACAATCGCTGTGCGTAAGGGTCAAGGCCATAAAACTCTATTGGATGTTCGTGATCTCCGGGTCCTTAAACGTCACTGCACCTCAAACAGGAATGCCACGGTCAAGGAAATAACAGAATGGGCTCAGGAATACTTCCAGAAAGCATCGTCAGTGAACACAATCCACCGTGCCATCCGCCGTTGCCAGCTGAAACTCTACAGTGCAAAGAGGAAGCCATTTCTAAGCAAGCTCCACAACCTCAGACGTTTGCACTGGGCCAAGGGTCATTTAAAATGGAGTGTGGCAAAATGGAAGACTGTTCTGTGGTCAAATGAGTCACGATTTGAAGTTCTTTATGGAACACTGGGACGCCATGTCATCCGGACCAGAGAGGACAAGGATAGCCCAAGTTGTTATCAACGCTCCATTCAGAAGCCTGCATCACTGATGGTATGGGGTTGCATGAGCGCTTGTGGCATGGGCAGCTTGCATGTCTGGAAAGGCACCATTAATGCAGAGAACTATGTTCAGGTTCTAGAACAACATATGCTCCCATCTAGACGTCATCTCTTTCAGGGAAGACCCTGCATTTTTCAACACGATAATGCCAGACCACATTCTGCAGCAATCACAACATCATGGCTACGTAAGAGAAGGATCCGGGTACTGAAATGGCCAGCCTGCAGTCCAGATCTTTCACCTATAGAGAACATTTGGCGTATCATAAAGAGGAAGGTGCCACAAAGGCCCAAGACGATTGAACAGTTAGAGGCCTGTATTAGACATGAATGGGAGAGCATTCCTATTTCTAAACTTGAGAAACTTGTCTCCTCTGTCCCCAGACTTCTGTTGAGTGTTGTAAGAAGAAGGGGGGATGCCACAGTGGTAAAAATGGACTTGTCCCAAATTTTTTGGGATTTGTTGATGCCATGAAATTTGGAAACAACAGATTTTTCCCTTAAAATGATACATTCTCTCAGTTTAAACTTTTGATCTGTGATTTGTGTTCTATTCTGAATAAAATATTAGATGTTGGCACCTCCACATCATTGCATTCAGTTTTTATTCACAATTTGTTTAGTGTCCCAACTTTTTTGGAATCCAGTTTGTAAATCCTATTGAGCATCTTTGGAAGGAGCTGAAACATGCCGTCTGGAAAAGGCATCCTTGAAAACCTGAGAAAACTGGAGCAGTTTGCTCATGAAGAATGGGCCAAAATGCCTGCTGAGAGGTGCAGAAGTCTCACTGATAGTTACAGGAATTGGTTGATTGCAGTGATTGTCTCAAAAGGTTGTGTAACACAATATTAAGTTAAGGGTACTATAATTTCTGTCAAGGCCTGTTTCATGAGGTTTTTTTATTTTTTTATTCTCGTGAAGCATGGTTGAAAAGCAATGACTGAATTTCATTTTTTCATTTTCATAGAATTTTTATTTATTATTACTTTTGTCTGATTCAATTTATTTCTGTGACCATTGTGGGGTTTTCTTTCATTAACTGAAAGGTCCCAACAATTTTGTCCACGTGTGTAGGTACACTGAAGATTCTTATATATTTACAACTGCAGTCTGTGAATATAATGTACTTTACAAGGAAAGTGCGTAACAGATGAGTGTAAATAAATTTTATACAAGTTTTTTGTAGATATAAATGTTTCCCAGTCAAAACTAAAAAGATTACGGTATATTGTTAATCACCAGATTCAGCCATGTAATTAAAAAAAAAAATAAAAATTAAATATATTAGTGTGTGTGTGGCTTCTTGCCTATGAATTCTTTCGAATTACTTTTTCCCCAGTTTGGATTCTCATGTGTTTGTTTAAATTCCCCTTACTGGTAAAAATATGATCACCCAAATCACAAGAAAATGGTTTCTGTCCTGTGTGGATTCTCAAGTGTTTTTTTAAATTACACTTTTCAGTAAACCTTTTTTCACACAGATCACAAGAAAATGGCTTCTGTCCTGTGTGAATTTTCATGTGTCTGTTTAAATGTCCCTTGTTGGTAAACGTTTTTTCGCATAGGTCACAAGAAAAGGGCTTCTGTCCTGTGTGGATTTTCATATGTGCATTTAAAGTTTCCTTTAGAATAAACCTTCGTTCACACACATGACAAAAAAACGGCTTCTGTCCTGTGTGGATTTTCATGTGTTTATTTAAATCTCCCTTTGTGCTAAATCTTTTTTCACAAAGATCACAAGAAAAGGGCTTCTGTCCTGTGTGGATCATCATGTGTCTGTTTAAATGGCCCTTGTTGGTAAACCTTTGTTCACACAGATCACAAGAAAAAGGCTTCTGTCCTGTGTGGATCATCATGTGTCTGTTTAAGGTTCCCTTTTGAATAAACCTTTGTTCACACAGATCACAAGAAAAGGGCTTCTGTCCTGTGTGGATCATCATATGTTTCTTTAAACTGTCCTTTTCGGTAAACTTTTGTCTACACTGATCACAACAAAATGGCTTCTGTCCTGTGTGGATTTTCATGTGTTTGTTTAAATCTCCCTTTTCAGTAAACCTTTTTTCACACAGATCACAAGAAAAGGGCTTCTGCCCTGTGTGGATTTTCATGTGTCTGTTTAAACCTCCCTTTTCGCTAAACCTTTTTTCACACAGATCACAAGAAAAGGGCTTCTGCCCTATGTGGATTTTCATGTGTCTGTTTAAACATCTGTTAAGACTGAACCGTTGCCCACAAACATCACAACCAAATGGCTTCTGTCCATTTTTGTTGTGGACCCTGTTCACAATTGACTCAGAGACCCTGCTGGGTGAAGACTCCCGGGCTTCATCAGTGAGTTCACTATTTAACCCAAAGTCTGATAAAAGTTTCAGCTGAGACTCAGGATTGTTCATATCATTATCCTCTTCATCATCTTCACTGACTTCAGTTTCTGAAGAATCGGAATCTTCTCTATAAGCAATTAAATCAGGGTATTTTCTATATTTTGTTCCTTCACCAGTTGCTGATTCTATGTGGTCACCTGAAATGCTGGTTGGAAGATAATGGACTTCAACTTGGTGTTGACGCTGTGAGAACAGAGGTTTCTCTTCATCATCCTCACTCTTAAAAGGAACTGCAGTTAATGAAAAGCTGGTGACATCTGTCTCCTCCTTCATACTGAGCTGCTCTCCTCCCAAAATGGTCCACGGTTCCTCCTCTTCCTCTTTTATGTGGAGACAATTTGTGTCCTGCTGGTCCACATCAGGCCACTGTTCTTCAGGAGCTTCTTCTTTAATCAGCACTGACTTCTGAGCATCTGCAGGAACCACAGGAACACATGTAAAATACAGTAAGGAGAACTAGGGGAGAGCGTAAAATAACTTAATGTGAACAATCAAACTTATTTCTTTTTTAAAATATAAAATTGATTAGTTACCGGTAGATAGTAAACGGTCTGTTGCTGTTTATTGTTTTGATTCTGACTGTTATTGTATTTATTAATATTTTTTATTATTGTTAGTATAGTTTATTGTAAAGAGTACCTTTTATGTTAAATATCATCCAAATGAGTCACTTTTATTTATTTTAATGCGTTATTTATTTTTATACAAACATATTTTTTATTTGGCATATTTTCAAAATAAACATTTTGTAAGTCTTTATTTTGGCTTTTGTACCGAAAATTAACCGAACCGAGCCCTCCTTGAAACCGAACCGAAATGTGATTTTAGCGTACCATTACACCCCTAATGTCTATGGTTGCATGTCCTTTCCAGGAAGCTAAGTTCATTAGCTACCTAAAAGCTCAGACTAAACGATAACACAATTCCATTCAACAGAAAGAATAAAAAGATACAAAGCTATTATATGCAGTTGATTGTTGGGATTGACTCTTGACTCAAGAGACCCTGCTGGGTGAAGACTCCCGGGCTTCATCAGTGTGTTCAGTTTTTAACCCAAAGTCTGATAAAATTTTCAGCTGAGACTTAGGATTGTTCACATCATTATCCTCTTCATCATCTTCACTAACTTCAGTTTCTGAAGAATCAGAATTTTCTCTATAAGCATTTAGATATGGGTTATTTGAATCTTTTTCTCCTTTACCAGTTGCTGATTCTATGTGGTCACCTGAGCTGCTGGTTGGAAGACCACCGATGGTGACATCTGTCTCCTCCTTCATACTGAGCTGCTCTCCCCCCAAAATGGTCCACTTTTCCTCCTCCTCCTCCTCCTCTTTTATGTGGAGGCAATTTGTATCCTGCTGGTCCACATCAGGCCACTGTTCTTCAGGAGCCTCTTCTTTAATCAGCACTGACTTCTGAACATCTGCAGGAACCACTGAAACACGTAAAATACAGTAAGGAGAACTGTAGCTTTATATTCACAAATACATGATTTGTTTTACTGCTCAGCTCACAGAAGATTTTATGGGCAAAACAAAACAAGGAACTCCGTGTCCCTTGCCCGGACGTGGGTTACCGAGGCCTCACCCTGGAGCCAGGCCTGTGGGAGGGGCTCATCGGCGAGTGCCTGGTGACCGGGTCTGTACCCATGGGGCCTGATTGGGCTCAGCCCAAAGGAACAGCATGGGTTTGCCTTCCTGTGGCCTCACCACCTGCAGGAAAGGCTATAAAAGTCGGGTGCATGATGCTATGGGCAGTGGCCAAAGACGGGGACCATGGTGCTCTGACCCTGGCTTACCAAAGCTGGCTCTTGGGACATGGAATGTAACCTCTCTGGCAGGGAAGGAGCCTGAGCTTGTGCACAAGGTTGATATAGTTGGGCTCACCTCAACACACAGCATGGGCTCTGGAACCGATCTCGTTGAGATGGGCTGGACCTTATTCCACTCTGGAGTTGCCCATGGTGAGAGGCGTCGAGCTGCTGTGGGTCTACATGTAGCCCCCCGGCTTGGTGCCTGTGTGTTCCGAGTTTTCCCCGGTAGATGAAAGGGTGGCTTCCCTTTGCCTTCAGGTGGGGGGGACGGGCTCTGATTGTCTTTGGTCGAAACTCAAATCCATGAGAAACAATGTGGGTTCTGTCCTGGCCGTGGAACACTGGATCAGCTCTTTACCCTCACTAGGGTGCTGGAGGGGTCATGGGAGTTTGCCCATCGAGTCTACATGTATTTTATGGACTTGGAGAAGGCATTCGCATTCGACCGTGTTCCTCAGGGTACACTGTGGGGGGTGCTCCGTGAGTATGGGATTGGAGGCCCGTTGTTATGGGCAGTTCAGTCCCTATACAAGCGATGCGAGAGTTTGGTTCGCATTGCCGGCAGTTAGTCGGACACCTTCAGGGTGGGAGTTGGACTCCGCCAGGGCTGCCTGTTGTCACCGATCCTGTTCATAACTTTTATGGACAGAATTTCTCAGTTCAGCCAGTGGGCAGAGGGGTTCCAGTACGGTGGCCTCAGGATTTCATCTCTGCTCTTTGCAGATGATGTGGTCCTGTTGGCGTCATTGTGCCATGATCTTCAGCTCTCACTGGAGCGGTTCGCAGCAGAATGTGAAGCGGCTGGGATGAGAATCAGCAACTCCAAATCTGAGGCCATGGTCCTTAACCGGAAAAGGGTGGATTGCTCTCTTCAGGTCGAGGGTGAGGTTCTGCCTCAAGTGGAGGAGTTCAAGTATCTCGGGGTTTCCTTCATGAGTTAGGGAAGAATGGAGCGTGAGCTTGACAGACGGATTAGTGCAGCATCTGCAGTATTGCAGACTCTGAACCAGTCCGTTGTGGTGAAGAGAGAGCTGAGCTGTAAGTCAGTCTATGTTCCTACCGTCACCTATGGTCACGAGCTCTGGGTGGTGACCGAAAGAACGAGATCACGGATACAGGCGGTTGAGTTTTCTCCGCAGGGTAGCTGGACTCTCCCTTAGAAATAGGGTGAGAAGTTCAGTTATCAGGGAGAGACTCGGAGTACAACCGCTACTCCTCCTCATCAAGAGGAGCCAGTTGAGGTGGTTTGGGCATATGGTAAGGATGCCCCCTGGGCGCCTCCATAGGGCGGTGCTTCGGGCATGTCCAACTGGGAGGAGACCCCAGGGCAGACCCAGGACATGCTGGAGTGACTATGTCTTTCGGTTGGCCTGGGAACGCCATGGAATCCTCCCAGAAGAGCTGGAAGAGGTGGCTGTAGAAAGAGATGTCTGGGCCTCCCTGCTCAAGCTGCTGCCCCCGCGATTCGACTTCGGAATAAGCGTAAGATAACTGATGGATGGATGCTCAGATCACAGTTATTTTTTCTCCTCCAAACAGGTTCCAGTGCTAAACCAGAGCCAAAGAGTGCTTAGCCCCAGGTCGTTCCTTTAATAAGAATATAAGCTGTAGCTTTAGCAACCCACCAACTAACTCAGCACAAACCGTTTGTTTTATTTCGTGTAACTAAAACGTTTCAAGTGTTTAACCAGGCTGGTGCTAGAGATGGTTCCTGAACGGTTCTTTAAAAATAAAGTTAAGCAACAAGAAAATGTGGGTGCCTCAACACCCTCTCCTTCCTCCCAAGATCCCTAAATTCTACTTCACACCCACCTCCAGGAGAGTGGAAATAATACCCTTTGCCTGGTTTTGCCCATGTAGTGATCAACGATTTTAAATATTTGTGTGGTAATTTGGGGTTTCAATTGTTAGCTTTTATGTAGTAAAACTAAAAAATGTAAATATTTATTTTATCTTTAAAATCAGCACTTTAGGGTTTGTAACCTCTCATACATTATTCAATCTGTTAGCAAGCTCAGCTATAAATACAGCTGCACACGTCCTTTCCTTGACGCTAAACTTATTAGCTACTTATTAGCTCAGACTAAACTGTAACATAATCACATTCAACAGAAATAATAAAAAGATACAAACCTATTATATGCAGCTGATCGTTCGGACTGAAAACTGCATCTATGATTTTTCTTTCTCCAGTTGTTTCCTGTTCAAGAGCATCTCTACTTCCAACAAAAACCTCCATTTCTTCTTCCTCTGCATCCAGGTGCTGCTGGACCTGCTGTCTCCACATCTGTTAGCTTTCGTTCATCACTATTTACCTTCAACATTAACCGAGTAGTTACAGCTGAATTGAACTCAAAATTAAACTAATTTCACCACAAATCGAGAGAAAAGAGGCTTAGTTCGTCGATACAAAACACGGAGAACATGACGAACGTTCAAACAGAACAACTTCCGCTGAAAGGAGGAAATTACTTCCGTTATTATCAGCTAGCCTTCAAAATAAGAGCTTGAACGGATCTCCTGATGCATGCTCAATAATCCAGGTAGAAAAATCTAAAAAAAAGTTAAATCTGGTCCTCTGGACATTCAAAAAAACAAAAAACAAAACAAAAAATGTAGAAACGTTTTGTCTTTGGACGTCTATTGGACTGATATCAAAGTTGTTTATTTGCATTTCTTTGTTTTCTTGTCTATTATCCATCCAATGATCATTGTCTCTTTCTTCTCCCAGCTTGGTTTTAAAATATCTAGTGTTGGGCTTTCCAGGTTATTTCCTTTAAGATTGATCCAGTAGTTTATTGTTAGGTGGTCTTGTCTTATTGCTAACGGCATTTCTACCAATTTTATTCCAAGTGCTGCTGCTTGTGTGGTTTTGAATGCTCCTGTAGATATTCTTAATGCTTGGTACTGTATTTTGTCCAGTTTCTCCAAATGTATTTTTGCTGCTGACCCATAAATTACACAACCATAGTCCATATTTGATCTAATGAATCCTGGAGCCTCACTCCAGATCAGTGCCAGAGCAAAGTTCTACCAAGCTCCATGTTCCTGTGACTACTGGCTGGCTGACTTCAAGCTCCTTATCGGTCTCCCTGCATGACAGCAGCGTTTCTCCTCCTCCACCTTTACTCCTGTGTGTCTCACCTGGTTCCTGGTTCCTCCTCACCTCCACCCCAGCTCCCTTGGAGATTTTTGTAAATACACTCATTAATATACTCACCTGATCCCACTGTGGATTGCTGGATTCGGATCCTGTCTCCTGTTCTCATGCTCCTGGAACAACAATGACAAGTAAGCTTATTTTTGGATTACTATCAACATTTCCAAAATCTCCTCTCAAGACGATTTGTCGTTCACCACCAATCTCCTCTCTATTCCCACAGTGGATCCATCCTGAGTTTGAGTTTACCAGCTACACCTGAACCAATAAATATAATTGTTTTTTACCTTAAGTTGTTTAGTCCTTGCTTCAAACCGTTCGCCTTTGACATCACCCACAGACCATAACAGCATTGAAGTCCCCCAGCAGAACAAGGGAGTCCCCAGGAGGCGCACTCTCCAGTACCCCCTCCAAGGACTCCAAAAAGGGTGGGTGATCTGAAATACCACTTGGCACAGAAGCACAAACGGTCAGAACCCGTCCCCTCACACGTAGGCGGAGGGAGGCTACCCTCTCTTTCACCAGGGTGAACCCCAATGTACAGGTGCCAAGATGGGGGGCAACAAGTATGCCCACTCCTGCTCGGCGCCTCTCACCAGGGGCAACTCCAGAGTGGAAGAGTATCCAACTCCTCTCAAGGAAACTGGTTCCAGAGCTAGAGCCATGCATTAAGGTAAGACTATTGACTAGCCGGAACCTCTCAACCTGACACACCAGCTCAGGCTCCATCCCTGCCAGAGAGGTGACATTCCACGTCCCAATAGCCAGCTTCTGTAGCCGAGGATCAGACCGCCAGGGTCCCCGCCCTCGGCCACCACCCATCCCACATTGCACCCGACCCCTTTGGCCCCTCCCACAGGTGGTGACCCCATGGGAAGAGTCCATCTATATACATCCAGATCCAGGTCTGCCTATTAGTGATCTAGGATCTACAGTATCAAATGCTTTGGAAAGATAAAAGTGAAGTGCAGCACAGGAATCCTTAGCGTCCAAAGCTTCAACATCCTCATTAAAAACCTTTAACGAAGCAGTCAGTTTTCTATGTTGTTTCCTGGAGCCAGATTGGAGAGAAGATAAAATATTAGGATTCCAAATACTTCTTGACTTGATCATTTATCAGTTTTTCTAAAACCTTAGCTAAAATACAAAGTTTGTAGATAGGTCAATAATTGTTCAAAATAGTGGGGTCTCCTCCCTTCAATAATGGCAGCACAAAAGCTGCTTTCCAACCATCTGGGATAGTATTACGTTGTATAGACAGAATGAAAATGTAAGACACCGGTTCTGCTATAATGAAGAAAGCACCACACTTTTCAGCAGACAGGCTCCTCCATACAGGTCTGTACAATCTCCATTCAGGAGTTTTTGACCATTTGACTAATTTAGTTTGTTTGAAGAGTCGTACAGTTGAATGTCTGAGCTCATTTCCGAATTGACAAACATGCCCTCAAACTTCTGACCAATCACACAATTCTTGGCTCATACGTCTGTGAGAAAAAGTTCAACCCAAGCCTCATGTCCAGCAGGGGTGGGCAAAGCTGCTCTGAGAACAAAATGATGCGATTTTTACGTCAATGAGAGCGGATTTGCTGCTTCGGATGGAGCATGCAGGGTAGAGACTTCTTCCCACGCAGTGGGGGCATTCCACCTGTTCTGGAAACGACTCCTTCAACATTTCAATCACTTTCCTCCCTTGTTAGAACATTGACATTTCTATTTATATCAACACAAACCTGCCGCACATCCTTTCAAGCCTGATCTTTTTTTTTTTTTTTGCCAGTTTATACAAGTCCTTATTTAGTCTTTAGTGTCCAAATCCTTTGTTGTGATACAGACATACAAAACATAGACTACAAATTTTAAATCGGTTGGTATGCATAAATTTATTTAGATGATTATTCAGCATTACACAGGTGCACTGAAGATTCTTATAAACTTAGAACTGCAGTCAGTGAATGTTATGTACTTTACAAGAAAAAAACATAACAGATGAGTGGAAATAAATTCTATACAAGACAGATAAATGTTTCTCAGTCAAAACTAGTGAAATAATGTTATTCATCACCAGATTCAGGCATGTAAAAAAACAAAATTAAATATATTAGTGTGTGTGACTTCTTGCATATGAGTTATTCCAAATACCTTTTTCCCCCCATTGTGGACTTTCATGTGTTTGTTGAAATTGCCCTTACTGGTAAACATTCGGTCACACAAATCACAATAACATGGCTTCTGTCCTATGTGGAATCTCAGGTGTGCATTTAAACTGCCTTTTTGGGAAAATTTTCGTTCACACAGATGACAAGAAAAGGGCATCTGTCCTGTGTGGATTCTCATGTGTCTGTTTAAATCGCTCTTTTTTGTAAACCTTTGTTCACACTGATCACAGGAAAAGGGCTTCTGTCCTGTGTGGAATTTCATATGTTTGTTTAAATTACCCTTTTCAGTAAACCTTTTTTCACACAGATCACAAGAAAAGGGCTTATGTCCTGTGTGGATTTTCATGTGTCTGTTAAAATCTCCCTTTTGAATAAACCTTTTTTCACACAGATCACAAGAAAAGGGCTTCAGTCCTGTGTGGAATTTCATGTGTCTGGTTAAACCACCCTTTTGAATAAACCTTTTTTCGCACAGATCACAAGAAAATGGCTTCTGCCCTGTGTGGATTTTCATGTG